GTCTTAATTAATGCTATCAAAATAGTTTTAAAATGTCCAAAACAGCGGAATTTTGAAGCTCTAGTGATCATCATCTCACATTGCTTAAATTTTGTCACTTGTGTAGCTGGGGTGTCAGAGAAGAGTCAATACCCACATGTATTCTGCAGTCATCATCCACAGGATAGGAGCCGAGCAGTGCTTCATTGTTGTCAAGCTTCTGTAAGAGCTTGTCTGAAGTGCTAAATAGCTCAAGGTCCATAAAGGCAGCTGGGGTGCCCACAATCAGCTCCAGTTTACTCTTTTTAAAAAAAAAAGAAAAGAAAAAAAAAGAAAATAATGATAAAAATACTCAGATGGGAGTTAAGATTACATTTCAATGTTTTTGCAGTTTCTTGCAAAACTTTTACATTTCCCAGAGAAACTTTGTTCACTCGCAAAATAATTGCTTTCCCTCAAGAATCTTTGCCTTCACTCTCAAAATTTGCAGTGGAAATAATATGAAGAGGTAGGAAATTCCATTTCATAGATTTTGCAAGCGAACCCAACATATTTCGGAGAAATGTAATAGTTTTGCGAGAATGCATAATTTCTTAGGGGACTGTAATTTTTTTTGTGAGTGGACACAAAATAATTTTTACACCTATGCTTTTTTTCTTTTTACTTCATGTCCCTTTAGGAGCTCCATATTACAGAGCCAAAAATGCTGTTATACTGAAAAATAAATATCATGCAAGAGTGATCTCATGCCTGTGATTTGACCATATTTCCACAATGGACAACATATGCATATGCCCAGAAAATTACACCCAAAGCTTGAAAAAATAAGTACCAAACCCGTTTCGAACATTTTAACCCATAATCGGTCCCTGGGTCCGGAAGTTTCCTTCATTTTTAAAAAGTGTTCCCTTCATCTCAGGGGCAAGAGACTCTGTGACTTTTCCTAAATAAGGCTTGATTTCGTTGTTCTAAAGGGGTGTAAAAAATAAATTTAAAAAAAATTACCGTTTAAGGTCCTTGGGGTCAGATTGACCCCACATTGAAAATGAATGGGAAATCAAATAAAAAAAATCCAGTATAAATCTGAAAATTTCTACATTAAAATAAAGGTCTGGTCCTAGAGCATATATGCAAAGTGGAACAAACTTTCTCTCTCTCACTCACTCACTCACTCACACACACACACACACACACGTGTGACTGCAACAGAGAGCATTTTTTGTAGAAATTGGCATACAAAATCAACAAATATGGCATAAATCTGAAATATTTCCATACATAAATGAAGGACTGATAGCACAAATGCAACCAGCATGTTCACTCTCACACACACACACATAATAATTTGCAAAAGTAGACAATTCAAAAGACATCAGACAACAACAACAAATTCTAACCTTTGACAAAAATACAGATTTCTAATGTATTTTAGAATGTTTAAATATATATGCACAAAATATATATCAAAGTTGTGAGAAGTTGAAGCATCAAGAAAAATGAAGTGAAAATGAAATGAGTCCCTATGGACCTCTACAGGATATATGTGGTCATTGCACTTTCTTTCTTTAAAGGGGTCATATGATGCTATTTTAAAGATCATTATTTGGTGTATTTGGTGTAACAGAATATGTTGACATGCTTTAATGTTCAAAAAACATTATTTTTCAAATACTGTACATTATTGTAGGTCCTGTATGCCCTGTCTCTCTCAAACGCGTCGTTTTCAACAAAGTCCCCTCCTTTGACAAGCGCAGTCTGCTCTGATTGGCCAGCTGACCCAGTGCATTGTGATTGGCCGAACACCGCAAGCAAGCGTCGGAAATGTAACGCCTCTTACCATAATCGCATGCTTCAGCTTTCAAAGTAAATATCAAGACAGTTAATAATGTCGT